GCAGCCACACTGGCCTCCTTGCTGCTTCCAAACAAGCCAGACACACTCCTGCCTCAAGTGTCCCGAACCTGCCCTTCCTTCTGCCAGCGTCGCTTTTCCTCCAGACACCTCCGCACTCTCCCCTCACCTGCCTCAAATGCCATCTCATCGGTGAAGCCTTCGCCGGCCACCATATTTAGGACTGCAACTCCTCTCCCATCTGGCATCCCCTCACCCCTTTCCATAACACATCCTATATAGTTGAATTGTTAAATTTGTATATCATCAGACTCCCCACTGATGAGTGGGCAGGTTTGTCTGTGTTGATCATGCTGAAAACAGTACCTGGCACATGGTAGGTGCTCAACAAATTGTTGTTAAAGACAGACAATCCACTGAACTCTCCAACCTTCCCTCCCAGCACACCTGCCCCCATAGCTCCACTCACACTCTGATGTTCCAACCTCATGGGATACAACTTAAGTTTGTCCACCTCTGTGCCTTTGGCACACAGAATCCCCTGGCTTCCTCCTCTTTACCTGTGAAAGTCCTTCCTAGCCCTCAAAGCCCAGGGCCAGCACCTCTTCCATGAAACCTTCTCAGACATCCTCTGGCTGGAATTTTTCTCTTAAACCTCTATGGTCACTACTCTAAACATGTTTTCTATAGCACACCACAATTTCAGAGTGGCCTGGTATGATCTTTAGCTCCTGATCAGCTCTCACAGGTTATGGATTCAGTTTGCTTTCTGGAACTTTCTAACGCTGACAAAAGTGTATGTTCTGGAAACAGCTAGAATCACCTCTCAGATCATATAAATTGTATGTGTTAAGCTAATAAAAACCAGTTTGCACACTAATAAAAACTGTAGTGTGCAGTGGTCACTGGAGTGAGGCAGATTTGCCTCAACCCTGGCTCTACCATTTACCAGCTGTGCAATCATCAGCACGTCACCTAATTTCTCCGGATCTCAGTTTTCTTGGCTAAAAATGGGAAAAGTTTAAGAGTCAGTGTCTAGAGCCAGCTCTCTTCTGGCTCCCAGATTCTCAAGTGCTCTGACTCTACTAGACCCTTCCCACGCCTGTTTGGACCTTGGGGCCTTACCGCCCTTATTACACGAATAACACTGTCCAGGGGGAGGCTCTGACTCCCTGAAAATGCTGGCACCTATGCATTCCCGGGAGGGAGTGTGGGCCATCTCACAAAGCTGCCAGGTAGTCAAGTGTGGGGGTCCAATCCCCACCCCAGCTGAGGCAGCCCGGCTTCCAATCCCAGATGAAGGACAATGGCTGGGTAGCTACAGCACTGCGGCCACTTAGGGAATTCATGATAGATCTTCCCACAGACTTTTAAAACCAAGTCTCATGAGCATGGAGCTAGGGAGGGCAGGGGAGAAATTGAGTTAACTTGGTAATGAGCTTCTCTCTCACTGTGCTTTGGAGATGCTCACCTAATCTTCTGACTCTGAATAAGCAACTTGGCTGCCTAATTAGGTTAACTAATAATTTCCCTTTTGACACCCAGGCTGCCTGATAATTTGGGGGTAACTGTGATTCTGTTTCATTGTTTCCTTTCTAAGTGAATTTCTCAATTTGCCTCCAGGATTAAAGTGCAGAGTAAATCCTCACTATTCCCCAGACCCACCATGCCTCTTCACGCCTCCAGGCGTTGGCTTGCACAATCGCCTCTACTGGGAATGCCTCTTGGCTCCCTTATGCTCAGGGAAGTCCTACTTTGCCTTGGAGCCCAGGTGCATACCATGAGTGGAATGAAGGAATGAGCCTCTGCACCCTCAGGGCAAAATTAATATTAATAGCTAGCATGAATTAAGAACCAGACCAGACACCTCACAAATGTAGTACAAGCTCATGGTAACACTTCAAGTACGAAAGATGACATGCTGATCTTTTTGTTGTTGTTATTGTGGTAAAACATACATAACCCTTTTAACCATTTTTGTTGTTGTTGTTGTTGTTAATCCTCACTCAAGGATCTTTTTTCCATTGATTTTTAGAGAGCGTGGGAGTGGGAGAGGGAGAGGGAGAGGGAGAGAGAGAAACATCAATTGGTTGCCTCCCGCATGTGCCCTCACCAGGACTAGGGATCAAACCTGCAACTCAGGTACATGGCCTTGACTGGGAATCAAACATGTGACCCTTAGGTACACGGGGCCAACACTAACCACTGAGCATACTTGCCAGGGCCTTTTAACCATTTTTTAAGTGAACAATTCAGTGGCATTAAGCACATTCACATATGTAACCATCACCACTAGCTCATCTCCAGAACTTTTTCATTATCCCAAACAGAAACTCTGCACCCATTGAACACTAACTCCCCATTCCTCCCTCTCCCGGCCCTTGGTAACCTCTGGCATGTTGTTTTAGGAAACTGTGACTCAAGGAGGTTTCAGAGCTGGGACACAGCATGGCCAGGATTTAAGGCCAGGTATCCTCACTAACTCTGGAATCACTGTTCTGTCCACTCTGTGACACTGCCTGCTACCCCTCCCTTATAGATTGGGCCACAAGGCTGTCATATCACCACCTCCCCCGATATTCATCTAGATCCTGCATTCTAGAATAATGTCTGGCACACTCAAGGAGCTCAGTATATAGACAAAATTACAGAATGACTCTACAACAGAGACACTGTGCCTACCTGACCCGGTGGGTGGAAATAGAGCTCACACTGCAACCTTTGCTTTCTAGAAAACATTTACTGAATGCCAACTGTATGCCTGGCCTGGTGCCAGCTCCTCCTCACTGCCCCCCAGCCTGCTGGCTCCACTCAGCGGGAGAGGCTGAGGGGCGGCTCTGCCTGGTGGCCCTGAAGAGGAAGATTTGTGTTTACATTACCCAGTCAATTCTGTATTTATTTTGGATATTAAGCAGTGACATAAAAGCTGCTGACATTAACCTTCAAGGGCAGAAATTGGCTTTAATGGACCCCATAAAAGTTATTATTGATGGCAGCTGCACGCAGCATCACTGTGACCTCAGCAAAAGCCTCCACCGCTATCAATACTGTTGACAATTACTATTGACTAATGCAAGGCTGGAGCGGGTGAAGGCAGAGGCCGGTTCCTGTGGCTGGAAGTTGCTGGGGATTATGCTATGCATTTGCATCTGGTAAGGAGCTCTGAGAACTTGGTCACACATGTTTGATTACCTCAGTTGAGAGTCCCACCCTCTCCCTGATTCCAATGGAGCTGGGTAAAGGGCTCAGACTACAGGATCAGAGAAATCTGAGTTCAAATCCGAGGTTTGCCAACTTGATGACTCACTGGCTATGCAATCTTGGGCGGGTCAGGTGACCTTTTTGGAGTCTCAGTTCTCCCATCTGGGAGATGGAAATACCATAGTGTTGTTATGAGGATTTGAGGCAATCAGTCACACATGTGCAGCAGCTTGACACACAGTAGGCCCTCTATATGTCTTCCCTCTACTCCTGAAAAGTGGCCACACTGTGATGTGTTGCTTTACATGTCCGATGGAATTGAGCCCTGTTCGATCATAAGATCTGAATTCTCATCACAGGGAAAGGGGAACTGTGGCCAGTAGGAAGAATATGAGAGAAAGAGAGGAGGAGGAAGGGAGGAAGACTGAAGGTGGGGGGATAGGGAGAAAAGAGGAAGAGAAAGAACCAGGATAGGAGGAGAGCCTGGCTCCAGCTCAACTAGACAAGGCCCATATACCCTTCACCTCTGAGACCATCTTCAGCTGTCAATTGAGGAGACACCCTGTGAGCAAGAGTACTGTCAACCTCATCAGTGGATAAAAGGGAGCCATTCCCATGGCTCATTTACTGTCAGTATGAGTCACTGACAGCATTTAGACCCAAGTATCACAAAGCTGTTAATCTAACTTCCCAACTGGGAGAAAGTGGGCAAGCGCATGGGTGCCTGCGGGGTGTCTGGGTTTGGGGTGTCTAGGTCTGGAAGGGATGCAGAGGCCGGGTCTCTCTGTTAGATTCTCGTGCCCACCTCCTTTGCTTGCCCATCCTCCCTGAGTTCAGTGGGGCTTGGAGCGTGGTGGCCAGTGCAGAAATGGATAATCAGGAGAGGGTGCAGGCCAGGCGAAGCAGGCAGCCATTTCCCTGACCCCATTATCAAAGGCCCGGGCTCTTCAGGCTCATTGACTATGTCATTATCACCCAACAGAGGCTTAATTCAGCAGTGATTCAGCTCTCAGGGAATGTACAATAGTGTGGGTGGTGTGCACCTCACTCTGTCATGACTTTATGGAAAAGGGGTCATTTGTCACCATGGCGAGAAGCCTTCAAAGCAACCAATAACCCAAGTATCTTGCTGCCCAGAAATTGGCGGGTCCCAAAGCACCAGAGAAAGGGAGGCTCCCGCCCCCGCTCCCCACTCCCAGCAGCAGCAAACTGCAGGGCAGGCCTAACTCAGGGCCCCTCAGGTCTGATGGTAAGGAGGAGCATTCTGAACCCAGACACCCTTTCCTGCACCAGAGAAAGGAGGCCTTGGAAGAAAGGGCTGAAGAAATGAGAGTAGAATACGGAGTCTAGCCCAGCCACACAATCTTGCAGATACGGGAAAACTAGAGCAAAACCTCAAGTTTTGAGTTATCCCACCATGAGAGTGTTTGTTTGGAAGCCATCTCTGATCAACACAAGATGCTGGGGTGGGGCAGCGCCCATGGCAATGGCCCAGGACTGCTGAGCACCTGGAGGCTGGAGCCTGCAGGAGCAGGGCTCAGGCAGGATCCTGCGGCCAGGCCTTAGCAGACAAGCTGTGGGGGATGGGTTAGCCACGTCCCTGGCCCCTCTGCTTCCCCATCTCTGAGGCACCTGCCTAATCAGGAAAGAAAGAGTGGAGATCCACTCTCTGTCATGGCACCGCTTGGTGGGTATTACATGTGTCTGTGCAGGAGGCTTTGACTTTTGACCATTAAGAGCAAAGCAATTGTCACCAACATCACTAGAGCCCCAAGCAATGGTGTCATTCAAACCCCGGTCCTGCAGCCCAGGTGCCTGGCTCAGGCCAGGCTGCCACTCACCGGTCTCGGTGTTCTCATGCTCTGTGTCGGTGAGCGTGAGGTTGGAGTTGGCCCGGCTGGACAGGCAAGAGCTGCGGCCCGACCGTGTGCTCCGGCCCCACAGTCGCACGGGGTGCTCAGGGGACAGCACGGTGTCGGCCTCCATGTCGGCATCAGAGCTGGCACCCATGGAGTAGCCGCAGTGGGGGAGGCCGATGTCTGTGCGGTACAGGGTCCCATGAGGCGGTGTCACCTCACCCAGCCCCAGCTCACGAAGGGAGAAGTTGGCTCCTGGGAGGAAACAGGTGAGCTTGGTTAGGAGGGGTCTTCCCATCAGAGCCTGGCCCCCAGCCCAGGACTCCCTCTGGCCTTTGAGCTCACTGTGCCTTTTCTCTGACTGAACAGCTCCTTCTGCCTCTTGCCCACCAGCCCCAACCTTCTACACCCTTTGAGGAAGGACCTGCTCAGATGACACCTTCTCTGTGAAGTCTCCCCTAACCCTACACCCTGTGCAGAAGTCACTGCCCTTCCTCTGAGCTCCTCAGAGTCCGTGGCCCCAGTCACAGAGTTAAGGGCCTGACCCCTCCACCGATGATGACCTCATGGCACAGGGCCATTCCTTGCTCATTCCTAAAACCCTGTGCCTAGAACAAAATCTGGTGCTTACAGGGGCCAACAAAGTTCTGCCACACTGAATGGAGGGCCTTGGGTCTCCTCTTCTAGTCAGGATGGGGTGCAGTGCTTGCCAGCAAGGAGGATAAAGTCACAAAACAGTCCCATACTGCCTGGTAAATAGCTGATGCCCAAGCCTTCTCATACCCAGTGCCCCAGCCTCTGCTCTGCCCACTCCAGTCTGTTCCCTACAAGGCCCCCACCCCCGATGAGATCACCTCCCAGTCTCTCCATGATGCAGCTGCTAAAAGGTTAATGTCAGCAGGCTTGGCACAGCAGGGGCTTGGGCTGTTCAGTGCCAGTAAGACATTCTGAGTGGCCAGGGTCTGGGCCAGACCAGATGTTAAACGTTTTGAATGTGCCATAGGCCAGTTTGCCTCCCACCCTCACTGCACACCACACTTCCTGTGTGCCCGGTTTGCTCCCTCTGATCTTTCTACACCCCTGTCCTATGCATCTCCCAGCTTCACAGTCTCGCCCCCTCTCCCTGCCTAGTATTCTTGCTCTGCTGGGCCAGCCTTCCCAAGGGACACCAGTCACACATTATGAAGAATGACTGCTACATTAAGTGAAATATCAAATTTATTTGCAATAAACATCCCTGGCTGCATTGATTTCCATATGGCTTGCCCTGAATATCCTTTTCAGCAGCCAGACTCGGTGTCAATATGAGTGAGCTGAGACATCCCAGGACTGGAGAAATGCAGGGTGAGGGCTGACTCTAAGGGTTCGGCGATCCCATTGAGCCAGCCTGGCCCCTCTGATGTGTGAGCTTAGATGATTTATTTCACCAAACATGAGATGTGCTCCTGTTTGCTTTAAGTCCCTTTGGCCTCTTTCCCGAGGAGCATCCCACCTTGCTCAACATCTAGCTGTGCAAGCTCAGGCTGGTGACATCACCTGGGCCTGTGTTCGTGTTTGTAAAATGGGGTGGTAACCTATGACCTGCTACCCTCAGGATTTTTGAGGATCCAGAGAGGTAAGGGGAGAGAGAGTACTTCATAAACTGCAATGCTCACAGCTGCCTATGAGATGAGAATGCTTCTTGTTTGTTATTTACAAAGACAAGAAGGGGCCCCTTCTGCAGCCTCGTACACCAGGGTGGCATCCAGGCCACGCTGGACTGGCAGAGCTCCCTGAGCTCTATCAACCATGGCAGGGCAGAGCTGGAGAGGAGCTTGGGTACCACCTTGTCCCTTCCCCTCACTGAGACCCAGCAATGACAACTAGTAGTAGGCAGCGTTTAGGAAGCAGCTGCTCCGTGCCAGGTACTGTGTCAAGGGCTTTATTTCCAGTCCTTGTTCATTCTGAGCAGCCTCCTAATAGGAGGGGTCACAGTTATCCCACTGCTCAGGGAAGGAGTTGAGGGTAGAAAGAGCAGCAGAGCCAGAATTCAAATCCAGGTTTTCTGATGCCTGAGTTTGAGCTCTTAACCACAAGCTGGGAGAGAGAAAAGACCCCTCATCTTTCAAACCTGAGAGGCAACCTTGCCAACAAGTCAGCCTTTGTGTGGATCCAGGCCTGTGGGGGAGGCCACATGTTGTGTGTATGCGCGTATGTGTGTGTGTGCGCGCGCACGCACGCACACGCGTGCACCCATGTCCAGCTCTTCTTACCTCTGTGATCTTGGGCAAATGAACCAACTTAGTGTTGTTGTAAGGATTAAATAACAAAGGCAAGATGTATATAAATTACACAGCGCCATGCCTGGCTAACCCTATCAGTAGAAGGCACGTGGGCAGGGTAGAACCAGGGAGGGCTGCAGGAGCATTCAGGGATTGGCAGGAATCACAGAGGCTCCAGGCTGGCGAACATATCATGGCAGCTGTGGACATAGTGAGCAGTCCAGTGGGCCCAGAGCATGAGTGGTGAGGTGGAGAGGCAGGGGATAAAATAGTCCAAAAGACAAATGAATGTGGGGAAAGCCCTACTAAGCCAGGTTAAGGAGCTCAGGCAAAGGGCCATGGGGAGTCATTTCCAACTTCACCCCAGCTGTAGTGCAGAGAATAGACCACAGGGGGCAGCACCGGGTGAAGGGGGCTGTGGCTGATCCTCTCAGAGAGAAGACAGTGGCCTGAACTGGACCAGTGGCGGAGGGGATGGAGAAGAGCGAGGGATTTGAAAGGTACTCTGGAGCAGGATGGACAGGCTTTAGTGACCACTGTGTGTAGGAAATGAAAGAGTGGGAATCAGGTGCCAGGATAGTCCCCAAATTAGGAAGTTTTTAGGTCCATCTCAGAAACAGCTTCCTCTCAAGGTGAGGGCAGTACTTGATACCAAAAGGTGCTAAGATATGTTTGTTGAAATATATGAACAGATAACAAAACTAACGGCCAAGACTTACTCAGCACTTCCTTGGTGTTATCACACTTACCATTTAAACACGTCACCTCAATGGTCCTCATAACAATTCGGCCCAATAGAGAGGCCACTCCTGCCCATCTGACAGCTGAGCAGTGAGGCTTGGAGGAGAGCCCATGGCTCTGAACTCAGCCCCAAGAACGGACCCCGCTCCTAACCACTTCTTTATGCCAGGAAGTGGTGAGCATGAAAATCAATGAACTAAGAATGAACCGCAGGGCAGGCTTTGACTAGATCCCAGTGCCAAAATAGCAGATTTGGTGTTGACTCAGCACTCACTGGCCCTGCTGCTCCACTGCGCCCACGCCCAGGGCCACACCTGCGTGCACACCTGCCCCAGGCTCGGTTCCAGGCTCTGCCCCAGGCTCTGGCCCGGGCCCTCTCTCACCTGTGCGGCAGAACTCCTCGGCCTCCTGCGGCACCATGTCCTTGATGCGGCTGCCGTAAGCAAGGCGGGCGTCCTGGTCATAGGCCTTCAGGGTCTCGCTGGAGCTGTAGGACTTCTGTGGGGCCTTGCCCTCCTCGCTGTCCGCGGACGAGCTGGTGTAGCGGCGCTCCGAACAGGGTCCTTGCCTCACTCAGGGCTGAGCGGTCTGGAGCCGGGAAAGCAAAGAAAAGGGCGTGAGCTTGGGCCCCAGGAGGCAAAGACCACAGCCAGGTCCATCTGAGCCTCGGACATTGATTCACCCTGCAGCGCTGCGGGACCGACCTCTGGTTCTGAGGGGTGAGAGCACCCCTCCAAGGCCACAGGGGGCCTTGCACCCAGAGCCTCTAAAAATGAATCTTGTCTCTGCTCCTCCGCCTTCCACCTTGAAGGTGCCTCAACCTGCCCCTCCAGTGATCCCTGCCAGGAAAGCTAAGGAAGGCCAGAGGGCTCTGGTTTTCCTAATCCCCCGGGACAGGAACACGGGCTTGTTCCCATCACATGCCCAGCTGCCACAGGGCCTGACCCAGAAGAGCGGCTCCTTAAGAATTTGTAGAATGAATGACTCTACTCAGACACTGCGGTAAGCACTTTGCATAGATGATCACATTTAACCCAATGAGCCAAGGTATCAACAACCAATCTACACCGCCACCACCAGATGACTAATTACTTGCTTATTGTTTGTTTTCTTCCACTAATACGCAAGCTCTGTGCAAGCCTGGGCTTTACCTGTTTTGCTCACTCCTGAGTTCTAGCACCTCCAGCGAATCCTGGCACACCTGATACACATTGGTTTCATTAACTGGCCAACCAATCCCCATCTCTCCGCTGAGAAAACAGAGGTTCAGAACCAACTTCAAGGTCACGGGGTGGTAACAAAGGCAGACCCTGAACCCACGTCTGCTTGGCTCTAAAACCTGAGCTTTTCCTGTTCCTTCCTCCCACTCTTGCTACACAACAGTGTCCTTCCAGCTGGGCTAGCTCTGATGGCCACGCAGACAGAGAGGGGACTCCCTCACCTGCAGACTCGCCGTCTCATCAGTGGCACAATTCGCACCTGGGGGAGCTACGGTGCCTGCCCCATACATCTGGGTGTTGTCAGGGTGTCTGATGGGTGGGAGGGAGAGAGGAGAGGTGCTGCTTTGTCCACTGCCTTTCTCCTCTTTCCCCCATCTTGACCTTTTTTACCCTAGACTGACACCCCAGGATTTTTTAAAGCTGTCATAACACCCTCTTTCTCTTTCCAAATGTGTTCCTTTGGCTCTGGGGGCAGCAAACATAGCCCCTACAAGAGCCAGGGGTCAGCACAGAAGGAAAGCAGAATGTCCTGCATAACGTGTGATGAGAGCTCTTCCGTTCTTGACACACAGCCTCTCAGTTCTTTCATATTGTGTCCCACTGTCCAGAGAAACGGGTACACACACATTCTGCTGGGTGGCTGTCGTACGGAGAAGCCACAGAGTGAGAGTGTGGTCTACGGGGCCACCTGGGGTCTCCCTGTGGAGGCCGGGCCTCTGACAGACAGGGAGGGGGCCTGTCCACGAGGGCAGTGCCACCCAGTGCCTGCCAATGCTGCCACGTAGGAGTGCAGAGTGTCTTGTGAGTTTTTAAGACAAGCTGGGAAATTGGACTTATTATTTTTAATTTCAAAATACTCTACAGGCCAAACAAAACACAAGGACGAGTCATTTTGGTCAGGGAACTAGTGGTTTCCAAGTTCTGCCTTTAATCGTGGACATCTGAGACATCCCTTTGGCCTGAAGATGCTCTCTTCCCTCCTAGGATGCCAAAGGCCCTCTCCTTAATGGTAACATTAGAATCCTCACTTTAATCCTGTGACGCAGGCACTATGATCATCTGCAATTTTCAGATGAGAGATTGCGAGGTGAAGGACCTGCCCACGGTTGCACAGTTTCTGAGTGGTGGAGCCACAGTTCTGACCGAGGCGGTTGAACTTGCCACGTAACTGCTAGAAAGTATTGCCTTTTCATGCTGTGCCAGATGCATTCCCTAAGCCCAGATCAGGCCAGAGCCCTCCTTCTGCCCCCCTAGCAGCCCTGCAGAGCCTTTAGGGTGAATTCCAGTTCTCAGTCCAAATGCTCTTGTGTCTGGCCCGTCTCACTTCCACTCACTGAGCCACTTTCTGGACACGAATTCTGTGATCTCTGCCCCTCTGTGCATGTGGTTCCATCATAGACTATCTACCTAACTAGATGCCTGCCTCTCCCCCAGACAGCAGTTCCTGGAGGCAGGCCTGGCATCCATGAACTCATGAAATGCCAGCTGAGTAAATAAATGAATAAACTTCATTTCTTCTTACCAATCTTAAGTAATATAAAATATTGGTGGTTCAACTTAGATAAATATGTATTAGATACATCTAAGACAGAATTAAATGCATTGCTCAGATGCATTCTTTTTAAAGGCAGCCTGGGTTTGAAGTATATGCCCCCACCTAGCAGCTGTGTGACCTAGGACAAGTTACTGAACCACTCTGTGCTTCAGCGTCCTCATCTGTAAAATAGCACCGACCTCTTGGGGTTGTTTGGAGGATTAAATGAATTAATGCACATCCCTGCAACATATGGCCCCTGATACATAATGGGTGCTGAATAGATGTTAGCCGCATTATCATCAGGAAAACCCCACATTTTATTTTTAAAAGGCGCACTTTAGAAGTCTCCAGCTTGGTGTCAGTTATAACTGGAGAAGGAACACCCCCGGGAAACGTGTTCATAGGCTGAGCGTGTTCATTCCGGCTGTTAACTTGGTGGGTGACTGTCTTATCAGTGTGTGCCTGTTGACCAAAGACATCGGCTTCAAGGCAAAGACTAAGTAACTACAAACGATGAAGAATGCAGTCCAGAAACTCATGGCTTCCCTGCCACAAAGCAGAAGCGCGGAGGACAATCGCCATGCTCCTGTTTCCTTTGATGCTCCCCATTTTATTTTTTTAAATTTTATTTTATTGTTTAAAGTATTACAAATAGTAGTACATATGTCTCCTTCCCCCCCTCCCCCATTGACCCCAAAATGTCTCCTTTTCAGCACATGCCCTCAGCCCCTCCCCCCCCAGTGTCTTGTGTCCATTGGTTATGCTTATATGCATGCATATAAGTCCTTTGGTGATCTCTTACCTCCCCCGCAACACTCCCCAGCCTTCCCATTGTACTTTGACAGTCTGTTTGATGCTTCTCTGCCTCTGTATCTATCTTTTTGTTCATCAGGTTATATGCTCCTTATTATCCATAAATGAGTGAGTTCATGTGGTATTTTTATTTCACTGCCTGGCTTATTTCACTTAACAGAATGCTCTCCAGTTCCATCCATGCTGCTGCAAATGGTAAGAATTCCTTCTTTTTTATAGCAGCGTAGTATTCCATTGTGTAGATGTACCACAGTTTTCTAATCCACTCATCTGTTGATGGGCATTTAGGCTGTTTCCAAATTTTAGCTATTGTAAATTGTGCTGCTATGAACATAGGGGTGCATATATCCTTTCTAATTGGTGTTTCTGTTTTCTTGTGATTTCCTCCTCCCACCCCCTCATTTTAGCCTTAATAAAGTAATTCAGTAAATATTTATGTGTTTTGAACAGGTGGGAGGTTGGTCATGGTCCACACTCAGCTTGGCCTTTATTAGCGAGAGAAAGAAGGGGCCAAGGCCTGACTGGTTTGCTCAGTGGTTAGAGTGATGGCCCTCAGACTGAAGGGTGTCGGGTTCGATTCATCTCAATTGCAGGCTCGATCTCTGGCCCTAGTTGGGGCGTGTTTGGGAGGCAACCAATTGGTATGTCTCTCTCACATGGGTGTTTCTTTCTCTCTGTTCCTCCCCACCTTTCCACTCTCTCTAAAAATCAATGGGGAAAACCTCAGATGAGGATTAAAAATAAAAGAAGGTAATGGGTCGGGATGTAAGACGTGACAGTGGAGAAGAGCTCCAGGAGAAAAGGGCCTGCAGTGCAGTGATGCTGAGGCCCTGGCAGGAGGGTGTGTGCTGGAAAGGGTGCCCAGCTCAGATCCTGGGACCCCATACATGGGCTGGGGGCAGAAGCACCGGTACACGTGTGTTTAAACATGTCAGACGCTCCTTACCGGCTGACCAAGTGGTTCCCACTGCGCCTAAACCCATTACCCAACCCTTCCTAACTAATGCACATCCCTGCAACATATGGCCCCTGATACATATGGCCACTGCGCCTAAACCCATTACCCAACCCTTCCTAATTCTCCCTCTGCTTCCTCTCACCGCCCACAGAACAACCTGCCACCCCAACCTGCCTCTCTCCCAGATCCATTCTCCGTTTCTGTCCCACCAGCTGCCTGCCATGTCTCAACATCCTCAACTGAGCCCTGCCTGTGCTGTTCACTGGGTTCACCCAAGGGAGGCTCCTGAAGGAGGTGGGGCAGGAGGGGAGAAGCCAGGAGAGAGTGCTGCTTCGTCCACTCCCTCTCCCACCAGCTGGCCCCTCTTCCAGGCCTCCAGCTCTTCCTGGCTCTGCAAACATCCTTCCCTGCCCTCACCTGATCGGGCCCAGGGGTGCCCGTTTCCTGTTGCACGGAGACCCTGGGTGTCTCACCATCCTGGTTGGCTGCCTTCACTTACCCACACCTGTGTCTCTTTATTAACGTCTGTTCATTGAAACCATCTGGGGTGAATTCTGTTTCCTGGGGGATCCTGACCTATGATGCAGCTTCGCCTCTTGCTTTCTGCTTCACTGTCAGTAATTATGATGATGATCATCATCATTGTCATCAAACTAATGACACCAACAGCGATCACTTACTCAGAGTTTACCACAGGCTAGGCCCTGAGCACAGTGTTCTGGATAGATGATCTCATTTAGTTGTCACCACTCCTAGTCTGTGTATTGGTCCCATTTTAGTGATGAAGAACCTAAAGCTTAGAGAAGTTAAATAACTGGTTTAAAACCATGAATTCAGAACTGAATCAAGAGCTGGATCCACCCATTGCCAAATCTCCCCTCCCACAGCCCTCTGCCATGCACAATGCGTCCCAGGTGAGGAGTTGGTCGGCTCCAGCCATGTTCTGGCTGTGTGGCCCTGGGCCAGCCCCTCACCCCAGGGCGCTGGGTTTGTCAGATGCTTTGTAAACTGTAATGCACATTATACCTCTAGGCGCATGGGGTTGGAGAGTTATTACTAC